AAATCTCTCCTTAAAACATATTTTTTTTTGTTCAGCAGAAAATGAATAAGTGTAACAAGAAACTCCTGATTGACTTTTCAAAGTATATATAGATATATACAGGAAAATGCAAAATCCACATATTTAAGGGCCAATCTGAACAAAATTCAGAATAACTGATCACTTTAAACTTAAAAATTTTGGATATAGTATAGAGAAAAATGTTTTAAGGAATATCATTATTGAATTTTTACATTAACCTCTGAAATAGAGAGGGAGGCAGAGGCAGAGGGAAAGAGATATACTTAATCAAAATATAGGTATTTGGACTCTGGGATACACTGGAAAATAATTGATAGAAATTTCAATTACTGAGATGGTATTTAAATACATTCTTATGTATTTAAATGTATAGTGGATGTTTAATGTATAATGTAATCCCTAATATTATTAGTAAAAATGAACATAGTTAATATAAAATAGTAATGACTTTATTTAAAGACCATATAAAATAATGAAATGAGAAATCACTTAACAAGACACTTTACTCTTTCTGAAAATATAAAATAAATTTCAACCAGAAAGTTATGACAATATATTGCAATATATCTGTGGTCAATGGATTAGTATTGGCAAAATGATGGAGGCTATTAAATTCTCTGATAGGTGTTGGTAACTGTGAAGTAATACAGGTGTATGTATGCCACACTTCATACTAGTCCTGAGCATGAAGCCAAAAAATAAAGGAGCTGAGTTCTTGAGAAACAGTAGTCAGTGAATCACCCAATAGCTTTGAAAAGTTCAACAAAGAAGATTATCATTAACCAGTGATTGGTTTATAAAGTGGAATCTCCACTCATTGTTACTGACTAGTAACAACAAACAAAAGCAAATGAAGAAGAATAAAATATAAGGTACCTTCAACTGTTACTTTTATAATTCTAAGATTTTGAAGAACACACACAAATCGCATGTATGTTATAAAATCAAAGATTGGGTCTTGGGACAGAGTGGAGAGATTCCATGAGGTGGAAATTTTTAATAAAAAAAAAGGAAGTTAAATTATCACCAATTATGTTTAACCTTTAATGTAACAATTGAAAAACTTACCATGACTCACTGGTGGCTGATTAGAGGTTGGTTTGTCAGTGACAGATAAGAAGTATCTACTCTACCCAATATTAAAGGTGCAACATTCTAAATACTTTATAAATAGCTTCTGTGATTCTCTGGGCATTCATTTTTTTAATTTATCAAAATCTTCTTAGATTATTCCTTTAGATATACTATCATTATTTTTACAGAATTATCTTTAAATGAGTGTCTTTGGTGATTGAGGCAATTCAACTAATCTAATTTAAATGAGAATCAAGGAATACATGCTCACACTATCAACTTTACAGTGTGAAAACAAGTGGAATTATGTGATTCCTCTGTGATCAGGGTATGCCTTTTTTGTTCTTATTCAAGGTCAAGTCACCTATTATTTTTAAAAATATCTGCCAGTTCTTATGCAAGGGAAATTTAAATTTTGAAAACAAACATAAACAATACATAAATGTATACATTACTGTTAAGAAATTAGTAGCAGGGGCACAAAATATACATAACTGAATACCACCAACCAGTGTAGCAATGAACATCCTTGAGTTACCCACTTTTGTATAGTCTGCCTCTTTCCAAATTTCAAGCACTATAATCTAATAAATGGTTAAGCAAAAAAAAAAAAAGAGTATTTGTGACTCAGGGACCCAGCTCTATGAGCCTGAATGCACAGAATGTCTCAGTATTTAAGATTACATTCTATACTCCACAATTTATCCTTTTAAATTATTCAAACTTGTTGTTTGCCATGAATATCTGCATTAATGTTCTTTTAAAATTGTTTGTGGGCAATTTTCTATATATATAAAATATTCTGATTATTCTTCTCTCTGCTGTCTACACTTTTCAACTCAATCTTTTTTAACCCCCACAAACCCCCAAATTCCCTTTTGCAGTATGATTTATTACACTTCATCTGTAGTTTTATGCAGTTAATCAGGGCTATTTGTGTGCCTTTAGCTTTAGAACTATTTATCATGCCCTATTGGACTCACAAGTAGAAATAAAAAGTCTGGCCAGTGTTATTCCTATCCCAGTCTATCAATGGTTTCCGGTTTGTTAATGAAGTGTACTATCTCATGAGCCACTCCTTCTTCCATAGACCTCAGCAGACAGGAAATTGCTGGTTCATGTGCAGTGTAAGCAAATATGCTAGGTGTGAATAAATATCCAGAATATAAAAGATATTTAAAACATAAAGTTTTTGAAAAAAACACTATCCAGACAAAATATTCCTGGGACATGAGAATCATTTGATAAGAACATACACACACACACACACACACACACACACACAGACACATACAGAGAGAAAGAGAGAGAGAGAGAGAGAGAGAGAGAGAGAGAGAGAGAGAGAGAAATTCAACAAGGAGCCCAGAGACATCTTTTAAGGGGAATCACAAAATTGTTTATAGTTATCTGAAAAAGACTGTAGAATTCTTAATTTTCTAAAAAGCAAATACATACCATGTGATCCAGTCATACAGCTCTTTAAAATGTGCCTAAATGACTTGATACACTATTTTACACATACTTTCTTATCTATGTTAATTGTTATTCTATCCGATGCAGGAAGGAAATGGTAACAAATTTTCTAAAATTATCTAATTGACAAAGCAATAGTGGTACATATGCACAATGTAATAATATTACATAGTAAAGAAAAATGAAATCATGACACCTGCAGGTAAATAAAAGGTACAATAAAAAGATCCTACGGAGTGCTGTAACCCAGATCTAAAAAGAGAAATGTGACATGTTTTTTCAGTTTTCTTATTCCTATCTCCAAATCTTCATATAATTCGTGATCCTAGAGAAGCTAAATAGGAAGGTGAACCCAAAGAAAATCATATAGTTATCCTCCTGGATATTGGAAGTAGACAAGATTGCCAGGCAAAAGTTGGGTGCACAGGGGTGGAGGTGGGGTGGGGATAAGGGGAGATGGGGAGGAAGAAGGGGAGAATTCGGGAGAGCTTGTGGGAAGGGGATGGTTAAGATGGAGGAAGGGTGGAAATGGGAGCAGGGAAGTGGATATCTTAATTAAGAGAGCCATTTTAGGGTTTGCAAGTGACTTGACTCTAGAGGGGTTCCCAGGTCCATGGAGATGTCCCCAGCTTGTTCCTTGAGCAGCAGAGGAGAGGGTGCCTGAACTTGCCTTGTCCCATAGCCACACTGATTAATATCTTTCATATCACCATAGAACCTTCATCTGGCGATGGATGGAAATAGAGACAGAGACCCACATTGGAGCACTGGTCCAAATGAGGAGCAGAAGGAGGGAGAACATGAGCAAGGAAATCAGGATGGCGAGGGGTGCGTCGACCCACAGAGATGGTGGGACTGATCTAATGGGAGTTCACCAAGGCCAGCTGGACTGGGAGTGATGGAGCCTGTGATCAAACCGGACTATCTGAATGTGACTGTCAATGAGGATTGACTGATAAGCCAAGGACAATGGCACTGGGTTTTGATTCTACTGCATGGACTGGCTTTGTGGGAGTCTGGTTTGTTTGAATGCTCACCTTCCTAGACCTGGATGGAGAGGGGGAGGACCCTGGACTTCCCACAGGGCAGGGAACCCTGACTGCTCTTAGGACTGGAGATGGAGGGGGAGGGGGAGGGGAGGGTGGAGTGGGAGGGAAATGGGAGGTGGGGAGGAGGTAGAAATTTTTAATAAATAAAAAAATGAAAAAATTTAGTAATCACATGAGACCTTAGAAATCATATGCATGTTAAAAAAAACTCAGGGAACAAAGTCACCACAAAATTATCAAGATAAAGGGGATTATTAATATTGGAGAGTTTAGACGGAGGAAAGGGAAGTTGGGAATAATGTAATTACTTTCTAATCTCAAAAATAAAAGAAATAGAAATAATAATAGAATTTAATTTAAAATAGTGTTGTGAAAGACAGACTAATGCATTATAACTGTGCAATTAAAACCATGCATTGTGAAAAATAAAAACCTACCATAAGGCTAAGTTTTTGGTCATTCCATATGTTACAGAAGGAAGCCAGAGAACACAAACAAGTACCACAGAGTAAAAGTTCCTATGGCTAAGCACAATGCAGACCTTGCTTTTGATGTATAAGGAAGTCATCTAGATAAAGTCCTCATTTTATCAAATTTAAAGCATATCTGCAGCTTCAATTTAGAGTCTATTTGTACAATTGGACAGAATTTCTGAGCATTATTATTTTTATAGACTATTCCATTTGATTTGATTTCCTTTAATTAATGAAAACTATATTTATTACCATTGGACATCTAATAGAAATTTTCTATTACTTACAATTTTTTAATGATATCTTACATAGCTCTGTACCCATGTTGGTTGAATTCAATGTACTGGAAGAATAGTCGATATACAGAAAGGCTAAAAGGTAGCATAAGACATATCAGTATCCTTGTAGGAAATCCTCCTTAAGTTTTTGCATTTTATCTTCCAAGAATGTGATTACTCAGGCGACAATTTTAACTTCAGTTAACTGCACAGTATTGTGCTTATGCTGAGACTTGGAATGTATTATAAAAGCATTTCACATTGCTTAAATGAATCATATAGGATATAGGCGTGTGCATTGTGACATTTATCCACCAGTATAGTTCTAAAGGTCAAACCATTTAACTGTACATGATTTTTCAGGGTTAATCCTTTTTATGCTAACAGGAAATTCAATCATGTCAACATAACTTGACCTTGAAGCTAAGTTTGTTAGTTTACATATATGAGCTCATACACTATTCAGCCTGGGCAAGAGGAAATACTGAACAGATATTTTTGTGCTGTAGAACAATTGGTTGATTCCCTGCAACTCCCTCTAATCAGCTGTATAAAAAGTGTTGTCTGTCTATTTCCTTCACAAACAATAACCTACTTTGAGCTTCTTCAGAAGAACAAAGGCCAGCACCACCATGGTAAATTTTCTCCTGCTGGCTTTTGTATTTGGACTGGCTCATGCTGAGGTAAACTCAATTATTCTGTGTTTATGTCTGAGGTTCAACAAAAGCATACTTTTCTGGGTGTGATGTGTGATTCAGTTAGTCGGTGCAAGTGCATATTCATGAAATAACACTTCTGACTTTCATTCAGGTACGCATTTCCAATCAAATTTTCTCTAGAATGAAAAAAGTGAAATATGGGAAAATGGGCTGTTTGTAGAGCATATGAGGACAAAACATGAGCAGTTCCCAAAAGTTTCCGGTACAAAATGCAATGTTAACTGAGTCATCATATTATCGTGTTTTACTCTACATCCCTGGAAACATAATCTTGAACTAATGAACAAAATATTAATGACGGATTTTTCTAGTCAGATTACTTATGTCTGAGGACTGGCATCAGAGATGCAAATACCAATTCACATTCGAATGGACTGTGGGGTCATTTTTGCCTTTGCTATTTTTTCAGATTGATGGAGAATGGGTTACAACTGCTATTGCTGCTGACAATGTTGACAAGATAGATAAAGGTGGACCTTTGAGGATTTATGTTCGTAAACTTACTTGTAATGAAAGATGTCTTCAAATGGAAATCACATTTTATGTAGAGTAAGTGAATTGTCAATCTTGTAAAATAAGGAGACTATTTACATTTCTTTCTTTTTAAATTAAATTTACAAGGGGATGTTTTACTTCTGTTCATAAAACGCAAGGCTTCATCTTTAGCATTATTATTATAGTATTCCATGATGGGTTAGCTCTGTACATCACACAAAGCTTAGACACTCTCCCCAATTCCATTCATGTTTCCTTAGAAATCCTCTGATTTGAGGCCTGTGGTTAAATTTCATGTTCTAATAAGAGATGCAGAAAACCCTAAGGATTTAATTTCTAGTAATTTGAAAGGAATTTGTGAGCATTGGTGTCAAGGTTATACATGCTATATTATTCAATCAGTAATGGCATAAAAAGTCTTTCACAAACAGGTGAGATAGATCTAGTTTGCCAAATACATCCTCTGATAGTCTGGATTCAAAAATTCTCATTTTGGTATTTGTGTGAATATGTTCAAGGAAAGACTTCATAACACCATGAAGATTGAAAATCCTTATGACAACGTCTACATTATAGCCACAAATGTAAGTTTTAGAAACAAATAAAAGCACATAAAACACATGCATCCAAATCTGCGTATATATTCTCATTGGATTAGAACAATAGAATAAGCATATTGAAACTCATATACAGTGAATACTGAATTTTGGATAAGGATGCCCTTAAATGCTTCATGGCACTTATCAAAATTGGGAAAAATAAATGAAGTGATCTATATGATTACACAGAGGATGACATTTTGAGAAGAATTTGGAAAGATTAATTAAGCATAGCTATTAGGCCCTAGCTCCTAAACTGTCCATAGATACTATAACTTCTTCAAGTTCATTAACATTTTAAGATCTTTAATGTAAATTCAAAAATCATAGAGAATAAGTCATGGTTATTTTGTTTTATTTTAGTTTGAATGGTCAATGCTCAAAGACAAAAGTCATTGGATACAAACAAGAAGATGGCTCCTACAGAACCCAGTGTAAGTACAGGGTTTAGTAGCTCCTCTACGAACTAAAGCATTGTGAGTGTGCTAATTCATGGTGATACTTCAGTCACACATAGGTAAATAAGTTTCAAAGAATTTTGCTGGGCTGGAGAGATGGCTCAGAGGTTAAGAGCATTGTCTGTTCTTCCAAAGGTCCTGAGTTCAATTCCCAGCAACCACATGGTGGCTCACAACCATCTGTAATGAGGTCTGGTGCCTTCTTCTGGCCTGCAGGCTTACATGCATACAGAATGTTGGATACATAATAAATAAATAAAATATTTAAAAAATTTGAAAAAAAATAAAAAAATAAAGAATTTTGCTACTTTAAATGTTACCAATCCTTCCAAGCAACTGAGATATTCTACAATGCCAGAACACATTGTAGATCATTTGAAGTTTACAAGGAGAAGAATGCTATTAAATAACAATGTGAATAATTCTAACAATTAATTTGACTACATGAAAATCTATTTCTAGTTAGTATTTGGTGTTTTATTAAAATAGTACCTCTGGTAATGGGCAGGTGTGCCACTCTCCAATAGGTCCCCGTAACTCAAACATCTTTGCAAACTTTATGCCTCAGGCGCTCCAGTACTAATATTAGAGACATTATCTGTCATCCTTGATTCAAGAAAAATATAAATTAACAGTGTTATTTGAAACTTTTCTCATATTTTGTAGAAATCAGAACATTTATATCAGTAGATGGAAAACTTAAATTTTTAAATGCACTTAGGATTCAGGAGTTGCACAGTGACTGCTCTCTGTCTTGAATTAAGTTCAGAAAGTTCAATCTTGTCTTGGTCCGCACAGCAAAATAACAGGATGCTTGGCCAAAGGCATGGTTAGTAGATGTATTGAGGAAAAAAGGAGGTTATTATACTTGTTTGTTCCTTGAAGCATGGAAGGAATTATTTTGGCCTCCCAATTTTGTTTTGTTTATAAAAATGCTATGAGAAATAAATTTGGAACTGCTTCAGTATTCACTAAGAGACATACAGATTCTATCTTCTGTCTTTTTCTTTCTTGATTCTAACTCTTCTATTCAAGTACAGTTCAACAGGTCAGCTGCCCCAGCAATAAGGTAAAATCTGTTTAAAAATTACAGATTGACTAGTTCAATTTTGTAAGAATTTCTAAAATAATAGTCCCACTATTTAACTAAATTATACACAGTTTGACCATTGGAATAATATTAAGTGAAGAGAGGGGAGAGATTTCTAGTAATTTTAATGCTTACAAGCATTATATTCATATTAAAAGAAATACTATAATACAAAGTGACCAGATCCTAAAAGTAAAAGTAACTTACTTAGTAGAAACATCACACATGCACACACACACACACACACACACACACACACACACACAAACAAACAATACGAATGTTTGGTAAACTCAAAATTTTTATCTTTACATCCTTTCTATTAATAATCTTTTAAGGTGAAAATATTTGCGTGTATGATTAATTAATATGTTCTTTGTATATATATGTACACATTTGTCCAACAAGTATTATCATTATATGACAACAAAGTTGTATGATTTCATGAAACTGACAAGTATTGGTCTTTGAAATCGAAGGAATACCTAATACATATCTTGACATTGTCCCACATGTCTTGAGACAAGGCATCTACAGAGAAGGGAAATGTCTCTTCTCAGCAATAACAATTATGTTTGAAGAATGGAAACATTTGGTTACCATTTTGTGGTGAAATATATCAAACTAATGCCTATAGGAATAGTTAAGCATACATGAGTCATATATTATCAATCAGTGATGATTGAGTCAGGATCAATATTAATGTTTATCAAAAAGTTGACTTTAAAAATGGTAAAATAAGTGACACTAAGTTTTGACATATTTCCATTAACTTTGCAGATGAAGGTGACAATAAATTTAAACTTGTGTGTGTGACACCAAAGAACCTAGGTTTTTTCAGTGAGAATGTGGATAGAGCTGGTCGGAAAACAAAGTTGATTTTTGTTCTAGGTAAGAATGGTAATAAATTCTCCAAAAAGTAGCAAAAACATCACCATAATGTAGATAAGTATTAAGTCAGTTTCCCTCCCCAAATAAGGAATAATGGAATTTCTGTGTTCCTGTCCATTAAGGACAATCAGAGTTTTCTGTAGACATGTCATGCCACCAATTAGACTTTATAAAATGTGTTCATGGTCTTGGGTAAATTATTATAGACAGTACTGATGGACCCATGGTTACTGAATTTGCATATCGAGTGTCACTAGGGCAGCAATGCAATCTCCGCAGAGTTCCCTGAATGTGTCTGTGACATTGACATTTATGCAATACAGGAAAAGGTGATCCTTTGACACCAGAACAACTTGAACATTTTGAGAAAGGTGTTAAACAATCGAATATTCCAACAGAAAACATTATGCAAGTTCTGGATACAGGTAACATCAATAATTATTTTGGCTATAGCTTCTATAAATAAATACATGTGTATGTTTATTTATGCATTTTTTATAAATATATGTATTCATCTACACTAAATATATCTATATATTCATATGTCTATGTATCTATGTATTTATATATGTAAGTATCCATGTTTCTATCTATTTGTTATCTATTCATCTATCTATCATCTATCTGTCTATCTATCTATCTATCTATCTATCTATCTATCTATCTATCTATCTACCTACCTACCTACCTATCAATCAAATATATGGTCCCCAAATCAGAACTTATCTAGTCCTGTGCTAACTATCAGTTGTTGTTTAACAATAATCATTCAAGAGCTGTTCTTAAATACTTATGATAACATTTCTGTCAGTCCTTACCTCACACATGTTCTTTTACAGATAATTGTCCTAAGTAATGACCTTCAATAGGTGAGTAGAAACAGAAGACATACCATAAAATCTTGATACAGGACTGAATTTATTCTTTTTTCATAAAAATTAAAACAGGTATGTGACAAGGAAAACATGAACTCAAAATTAAGCAAAATAAAGACAGAATATTATTCATCAATTAAAGTTGAAAATCTTAGTGACAAAAATTTGGGTAGAATAATTTTTACTTATAAAGCAATGTGAAGGGCTTTTATCTTTTTGAGAATTGCTAATATTTTTATACTGGGGAATAATCAATCAAAAATACATCTTATCATCTGAAAAGTATGTTTGGGGAATAATATTTGTCTCAGATATTGTAGAACAGTGTTGATCTTTTAACATATTCTTTGAAATACCTTAATCTATGTTATCATATAGAGACTCAGAACTTTAATATTTACTATAGTTTTTTCCTTTAGAATTAAAATTACAAGGTACTTGGATTTCTAAGACAGGAGCAGTTTGTGTACCACCCCTTCTCTGCTTTTAATTTTGCATTCTTGTACTCTTAAGTATGGGACATTTCCTGTCAGTTCAAACACGTGCAAAATGTTTCTTTCATGTCTCCACAGATGACAACAGAATGAGAATTATGCAGAATATCCTCTTGACAATGGAATTAGTTTATGAATCACCACTTATAAGTGAATTGTCTCCTCTCCTATGAATTCCAGAATACCTCATTGCAAATTCCTGACCTTTCTTTTCCTTTCTACATAATGAACTTTAACTGTTTTAAATGATTAAAGTACTTCAAGAAACTATAAAAACCTGTGAAAAGAATCTCATTAAAAAACACAAATATTCAATTAAGCTAATTAAAATAATTACTATAGTGTAACAAATGGCATCTGTATAACTAAAAAATGATGCAATATTGGCCATGTCATAATTTCTGGGTAAGAACACTCAGAAATGATTTTTTTCTTGGACTTCATATTTACTTTCAGCTGTATATGTGAAATGAGGTAAAGTGTCCTATCACAGTAAAAGATTTCATATAAATTATTTTATTTGCATCTAAATTCTCATACTGTTTTATTTGAAACACAAAATATTTAAAATATGTTGTATACACCCAGAATTGATTCATTCTCCACCAAATAATACAAAACACACACACATAAATGAGGAGGAAAACATACCTGAAGAGAGTAGGAAAAATAATTTATAAAATACTAGAAAAAATGAATATACACTTTTATCTAGAGTACAATCCACCATTATTATGGTGGTTTGAATGTTTGGTTAAGCATACAGATGTTTAGAAATAGAATAAAATATAAAAGGAATTAAGGATATGAGCCACATGATTAAATCAACAGATAAAGACAAAACCTTTGCTAAAATGTATCATGCTTCCAAGATAAACCTCCCAGAAGGAGTAGGAATATAGAGAACATGCTTCAACATAATAAAAGCTATCCTTGGCAGACATACTGCCAATACCATTGTATATGTAGACATACTGCAAGGAAACCTACTAAAATCTTGATGGAGACAGCTAGGTCACTATTGCCACTAAGTCACAATGTTATGTTGTAAACACTTTCCTGAAGAGTACAGGACACCCATAACAAAAGACTAATTTAAATTATTCCTATTTTCAGATGACATGATATTATACTAATACATGCATAAATTGTAGCAGAATACAGGTAGCAGAGAAAACAATTTCATGAAAAGGAAATAATTAATTAAAGAAATTCAACAACCTTTCATTATACCAAATACAAAGCCACTATGAGGGATATCATTGACATAATCCAATTTACAATATCATAAAAAAGAATAAAATATCTTGGGTTAACCATAACCAAAACAAAGAATGTAAACTTTATATTTCAGGGCAATGTTTGAGGGAAAAAAAAAGTCCTTCAAAAATTTAAGACATTTAATAGTCAAAGAATTAGTAATGGGGCTAACTGTCATCCAAAAAGCAATTTAATATAAAATTAAATCCCAAGATAAAAAAACAGAAAACAAAAATTAACATTCTTAATAGAAATAAGATTTTTCTATGGAACCAGAGAAGTGTTTAGATTATAAAATATTCTTTAAATAAAATATCAATATGGGAGGTATCAGCATTTCAGTTTTGAAGATATCTATAGAGCCAAAATGATAAAAACATCCTATATAGGACTAGTAGCATTTTTCCAGTATAAATAACTTTGCTACAGCAGAATATCCCCTAACAACCACACACACACACACACACACACACACACACACACACAATTTTGTGTTTATTCTCACAAAAGCTGTATTCTTTATCACTCATAGAGGAAGATTCTGTTTTCAAAACAGTGAAACATTATAGGAAACCACAACCAATCAAAAAGCAGAGTGGTGGAGTCTCACCCAAGTGAATTTCATTAAAGCCATTTCCTTACATAAGTTTGATGGCACAAAGTGTAAGAACAGAAATTTAGAAAGAGCCAGAATATCAGGGAATTTGGTATGATATTCTTTATCCTTGTAGTATCAGAAAACAAACCCAAAAATTGTGACCTATATGACTGCCTGAACAGCAGTGTAAGCAATATTAACAATAAGAATGCCAAAGTTGACTTGATAAATATCATGAAGCTTTAGCCCTTCAGATATACCTCTAAACCCTCAGGCAGAAGAGGGTAACTCCCAGGTTACCTTGGGGACTGGAGGAAGGATCAGCCAATACCTTATCAGGTCCAAACATCTTCACATTATGGAATACCCATGTGTTTTGGGGCTCTGAAGCTTGATTGCCAGCAATCAGAGTGTTTTTCCTACAGGTTGGTTGGTAATCCCTAGCTCTGTGTCCTCCACAAGCCTTTTTATCAGTAGCACAGGCATATAAGACAAGAAATGGGACTACCCCATTTCTGGTGAGAATATTAAAAGTAAAAGGTGTTTAATCAGGGATTGGATTGTTATTGTTTTTCCCAGGATATCAGTTCAGAGTGATCTGACATTTATTTGGCTATATGGGCATACCTGGACACCCAGGTGTCAGAAGGGAAAGATTGACATCTTCTCAGTTAGAGAAATAGAGCTGAGGTCTCTGCAGATAAAAGTGGTTTTTCTGAGGAAGCCAAGGTCCAGGAGTGCTTATTTGGAGTTTACGTGACAAAAGATGAACATCTGAGTGAGTCTTCATATCATTGGCCTGGTCTGTATCCCCTTAATCAGATGAGTTTCTATCAGTACCCTTGGAGGGAAATGGTGTGTCTAAAGTCTCCTTTTTCAAGGGAAGTAGAATATAAACACCATCCTTGACAGGGTATTTATTGTCAGAAGATCCTCATTGGATCAATATTGGGCCTACAGCTTACGTTGGACTGAAGTGCAAATCTAGGACCCATTTATTAAGAATAATGTCTGAGGTCTACTCCATAATATCAGGAATTATATGGGCCCCTCATACAAAAGGAACATGTAAGCCTCCTTTGAACAAACTGGAAAGATGTAGGGTTCCCTTTGTTCCAGGATGAAGATCGGATGTCTCCTTGATCAAAGGGAGGAGTGACTACTCTTGGGAAGAAAGGAGTTTCTGTACCCATGAGGCAGGGGAGATATGATCAAAATGTGAAAATCCCACATAACTATAAGCAAAAATTCAATTGACTTCTATACCTCATAAGCTCTTAGAATTGCCTCACCATCTACCTCTTCTTCATAGTTTAGGATGTCTGTATCTTTAGCTGAATCTACAACAGACCAAGCATCAATGTCAGGATTCAGTAAGATACTGGGTGGGAGGAACAGTGTGGTTGACTCATAAGAACTGGGTGGGACTGAGCAGTCTACAGCATGACTGGTGACTTTACTTAAGGAAGTTGAAATGGGTTCCTGGATTTGTTTGCTCTTCTTGACTTCTGTGAACTCTAACCAGAGGGACCAATGCTCTTTGGTCAATGGTGAACTATTCTTTGTGCCCGTCCTCAGAGGGAAATTTCTGAAGGCCATTTGGGCCAAGTTGGATATTTTATATCCTAAGTTTTCAGAGCAAAAATGGTAAAGTATGGGAAGGAGACAGATCCTTAGTTAGTTAAGGGGGAATGCCACTGCTTACCTTCTATAAAGGAGAAGGTACAGGCATTCCCTAGTCAGTCTCTAACTCTTCAGTGAACTCTAGAAAATCCTTTTCTCTGAGGACTCCTTTTGAGGCTTGATAGCAATCAGAGGATTCTTCTGACAATTTGAATCATAGTCCCATTGTCTGTTCCCTACTTAAACTTTGGATAAGCAGCACAGGTGTAGACATGGAGGACAGGCACTTTTTTGGTATGCAGCTTGAAAACAGATGATCTCAGATCCAGGGTAGTTCTTATTCTTCTGCCATGCAACTTCAATCTAGAGTTCCACGAGGTTTCTTTGGTGGTCAGAAGTGTATTTCCTAGCCATTCAGTTCTGAGGGAGAAGCTCCAGCCTCTCTTAGTTGCATTTGGTAGGCCTGAGTCCGGCATGAACACAAAGAGAAGCTCCTATGTTTTCCTGGTAATAGGGACTCAGTCTCAAGTACCTGTCAACCAAATCTGAATATTTGAGACACATTCTTCAGGCACAGGGCCAGTTCTGTAGCTTACTTTATCAAACAGGCATGTCTCAGACTCCTCCAGTAGAGACATGATGTAGGAGGGTCTTCTATCTATCTGTTGCTTTCATTGGTTAATTAATAAAGAAAACTGCTTGGCCTGATAGGTCAGAACATAAGTAGGCGGGGAAGACAGAACAGAATGCTGGGAGAAAGAAGCAGAGTGAGAGAGCTGCCTGCCATGAAGCTGCCAGGTCAGACATGCTGAATCTTTCCTGGTAAGCCATGACCTCATGGTGAGATACAGATTATTAGAAATGGGTTGAGTCAATATGTGAGAATTAGCCAATAAGAGGCTGGAGGTAATGAGCCAGGCAGTGTTTAAAAGAATACAGTTTCTGTGTAATTATTTCGGGTGTAAAGGGGAATATCTGAGTCTTGTCCTGGTAGAAGTAGAAGTAAGGCTGGAAGTCCCATGAGGAGAGGTGGAATGTCTGAAGTTCTCTTCATGAGAGGGAGTAGTTCCCATGTCACCTTCTGTAGAAGTGGAAACTTCTTTGCTCTCTTGGGGAGTAGCGTTTGGTTTCTGGTCCCTTTTGGCAGATGAAGAATGTCTAGTTCCTCTTTATGACAAATATAGTTGCTTACAGCCCTCATGTTCTGTATGGGAAACATGAACATCTGTTTTGTTAGAGGAAGCCTGTTCCAATTTGGTTTTGGTAGATCTGGAAGGTCTAGAGATGCCTTGGGAACAGAGAACTTTCGAGGCGCTCCTCACGAGATTGTGAGGATCTACAAACTCCCTTGGCAGAAGTAGTAGTGAGGCTCTTTTGGGGCTCAGTTTTAAGCCTTGCACCACCTTTGTCAGAAACGGAAGCTCTGTCCCCCCTTTTGGAAGAATGGTGAAATTTCAAGCCTAATCTTCTGATGGGACAGATTTGAGGCCTGATTCTTTAGAAGCATTTCTCGATTTTGCTTTTTTTGATTATAAATGTCTGAAGCCACCTGTGGAAAAGGAGAACATCTGAGATCTTTAGGAGGGTAACTAGAACTGAAGTTCAATTCTGATGATACTGGGGGTGGGAAACTCCTTGGAGATCTTGAGTCCTTTCTGACATATATGCAAGATGTGAGCCTTTTTTTTTTTAGCAGAAGGGAATGATTTTAAGGCATCAAGTTCTGAAAGTGAATATCTGATATTCCCTTCATGAAATAGAGCACGTCTTGCTACTTTTTTGTTAGAATTGGAAAGTCTATGACTTGTTTTGGGATAAGAGGAATATCTTAGGCAGTTATCATGAGAAGGAATAGAAATAAAATCACCATGTACATAAATGGATAGTCCCAGAAACTCTGTTGAAAAGAAAGGTCCTACACCTTTTTGGGTATATGGTATAGGTTCTAGAATCCCTTGGGATGGTTTGGGGTTTTCAAGAGTGTCATAGAGAGGTGATGATGGCTCCAGTATCCCTTGTCCGTATACTGAAGGACTCAGAGGACCTTGGTCAGAATTCAAAAGTCTCAGAACCTCTAACAAAGATGGAAAAGATTCTGGAGTATCTGACACAGATTCTAAAGTCTTAAAAACCTCTTTGGCTATTGGAAAAGGCTCTGAGGTCTCTGGTGTAAGAGAAGGTTGCAGAGTCTGCCCTGAAGGAGGCAGATGTTCTAAAGAATCTTGGGAAGTTGGTGAAGTTTCTGTAATCCCATTGTTATAAGATGGTATTTCTAGAATACTCTGGGTAAATAGTGGAGTTTCTAGTGTCCCCTGATCATAGTCAAAAAATCCAAGCTTTCCTGGATCAGATGACAAATATCCTAAAGACCCATGATCCAAACAAGAGCCTGAAGCCTCTTGGGATAACAAAGAAGTATCTGGAGACTCTTAAGCAGATACTTTGTAAATGTCCAAGTGATTCCTGTGCTGATATGGACAGTCCCATAACTCTTGTGAATGTAATGAATTTCCTCCATAGCCTTGCTAAGATGGTGAAGCTCCTTGTATACCTGAAAATATTTCCTGGCAACCTTGTTCTGAGGGGGAGAGTGACCCAATCCCAGATGCAGATGGAATGGGTCTCAGAGAGTCTTGTTCAGGAGGAAAAGGTCCCAGGGTTCTTCAGGAGATACTAATGGTCCTAAAATTTCTTTTTCAGATACGGAAGGTCTCATAGTATTTTGGGCAGAGAAGGAAATTCCCAGAGATCCTGGGGTAGATGGAAAAGTTTCTGAAGTTCCTGGGGAAAAGTCTGATATATTACAAGCCTCTTTGGTAGATGGCAGAGGTTCTGAAGTCTCTGGCATAAGGGGATACTGTTGTAGAATCTGCAGTGAGAAGGTAGATGTCCTAGAGAGTCTTGGGCAGGTGGTGAAGTTTCTATAATCCCATGGGTAGATGGTATTTCTAGAGTGCTATGTGTAGATGGTGCTGTTTCTAGTGTCCCCTGTGAAGATTCAGATAGTCCAAGATCTCCTAGATCAGATAATGATAATGACTGTCCTAAAGGCCCTTGGTCTAAACAAGTGCCTGAAGCCTCTTCAGATGACAAGGAAGTATCTGGAGATCCTTGAGCAGATGGTGAATGTCCAAGAGATTCTAGGATATGGACAGTCCTAGAGCCCCTTGTGTAGACAATGCATTTCCTGAATAGATTTTCTGCAGTGGTGAATCTTGTAAAGATACGTTCTCACCCGAAGACATTTCCTGTAAACCTTTATCTGTTAGTGAAGGTCTAATAGGCCCCATTTAAGATGAGGTAGATTTCACAAACCATTGGTCAGATGGAGAAAATTCCAGAACTTTGTGGGAAACTGTTGGTGATCTCAGTGTCACTTGGTCACTTATGGAAGGGCCCACTGCACCTTTGGCAGATGTTGAAAGTCTCAGTGCCTCTACGATAGATGTTTTAGAGACCTTGAGAAAGATTTTAAAGTACTATAAACCTCTTCAGAAGATGGCAAAAGTTCTGACATCTCTGAAGCAAATTGGGAAGTACCCAGAGGCTGTTCCAAAGAAGTCTGAATTCCTAGAACACTTTGAGATGATGGTGCAATTACTATAGACCCTTGAGCAGATGATGGTGTTTTTCTAGCACCTTGTGTAGATAGTGATGTTCCTAAAGTATCTTTTAAAGATTGAGGAAGTCCACAATCTCGTGGAGTAGATAATGAATGTGCTAAAGCCTCTTGAGCTAAAAAAAAAAAAAAAAAGCCTCTTGGGAAGATGCGGACATTTCTGGAGACTCGTGATCAGATTTTGAACTGATCACGGACTACAAACTCTTGTGCTGATATGCAAGTTCCAAGAGCCCTTTGCACAGATAATGTTTTATTTTATTTTTTCTTTTAGTTTTATTACTTAAAAAAATACCAATCCAAACTCCTACTCTATCCCCTCCTACCACTCCTTCCACCCACCCTCCCACCACTCCCCCTCCAATCCTATGAGAGGGCACCTTGTCCTGTGGAAAGTCGAAGGCCCTCCCTACTACATCTAGATTGAGCAAGGTATACATTCAATGAGAATAGGATCCCAAAAAAGCAAGCACATGCTGTAGAGACAAATCCCAGTGCCTCTGTCTGCCACACCAACTCCAGTGTCGTCTGTATGACATGACATATGTCATTATGCCAGATGGGAGCTACGTGTCATATGGGACGAGGCTTCTTGAAGGTCAATGACAGATGGTCCGGTATTAACCACCACTGAGGCATAGACGGGCTTCTCGATTAGCTGGCTATGCGGGATATGGGCTTTGCACAATCTCTTTTAATAATGATATTTTATATATCTACAAGACAAGGATTATCTCTTCAGGAACAGCTCTGGGATAGGGAAGCACAGTATGGGAATGTATAAGACTACAGCAAAACCCTTATCACACATGGGGTGTATGATGAGCAAGGGAATAGATGGGTTAATGTTGATGGACAAAGAGTGTTATATTATACTTTGAACTTAATGGATAGGCTTGCTAGATCCCAACCTCCATCATGACTGCTGCATTAGAAGGCACAAAAAAAGTATATTTCAGCAGGTGCAGAGAACTAATTAGGCATATTTGGTCACTATATGAGATAAAGAAAGGGTTAGAAAGAGGAAGGGCCATGATAGTGATAATGAGACAGAAACTTTCTATTCATAAGATGAGACCACTTGTCTGAGATTTACGTTCCCAAGGACAAGATTTCCTCTTCTAAGGATGCTTTATGTCTAACACCTGTCCTCATAATATGCTTTTCTTAAATATTGCTGATGTAACTAAAAGCTTTCATACTGTGCCAGCTAATGATACATGATCTTCTGATTTGTTCTTTGTTTGAAAACTATATAATGAAAACATGAATTCAGTAAAATCGCAGCAGATTCCAACAACTCTCTTGTGTGTTGTCTCTGTCTGTCATTCGCCGAACTTGTGCCTTCCTGTGTACCAAGACCCTGCTTTTTCCATGATCTGAGTGGCTCCCCTGACCTGATCCGTGGCAACTGTCAGTGGCCCCTCAGTCTGCCCCAACATTCAGAGGGACTAATTTGATCCCATGCTCTTTCACTCCCAGTCCAGTTGGAGCTGGTGAGTTCCCATCAGCTCAAGCAAACTGTCCCAGTAGGTGAACCCCTCATGGTCTTGACTTCCTTGTTCTTATTTTCACTCCTTCCACTCTTCAACTGGACCTTAGGAACTCAGTCCAGTGCTCCAATGTGGTTCTCTGCCTCTGTTTCCATCTGTTGTTGAACGAAGTTTCTATGGTGATATTTAAGATAATCATCAGTCTGACTACAGGGCAAGGCTAGTTCAGGAACCCTCTCCTCTATTGCTTAGGGTCCTAACTGGGGTCATCCTTGTAGATTCCTGGGAATTTCTCTAGAGCCATGTTTCTTGCTAACCTTATAATGGCTCCCTTAATCAAGATATCTCTTTTCTTGCTCGCATATCTGTTCTTCCTCCCTCTTGACTATCCCATTCCTTTAAGTTCTCAACCCTCTTTTCCTCCCCTTCCTACTACTCCCCAGCCCCATGCTCCCAATTTTGTTAGGCGATCTTGTCTGTTTCCAATTCTCAGGTGGGTCTATATATGTTTTTTCTTTGGATTCACCCGTTTCTCAAGGATCACGAACTATAGGCTCAATGTCCTTTGTTTATGGCTAGTATCCACTTATGAGTAAGCACATACCATATTTATTTTTGGGGTGTTTGGGTTACCTCACTCAGCACAGTGTTTTCTAATTCCATCCATTTCCATGCAAAACTCAAGATGTCATTGTTTATTACTGCTGAGTAGTACTCTAATGTGTAGATGTGCCACACTTTCTTTATTCATTCTTCAGTTGCAGGGCATCTAGGTTGTCTCCAGGCTCTATTACAAATAGTGCTGCTATGAACATAGTTGAACAAATGCTTTTGTAGTAGAATGAGCATCTTTTGGGTATATTCCAAAGAGTGGCATTGCTGAAGCCTAAGGTAGGTGGATTCCCAATTTTCTGAGAAATCACCATACTGATTTCCAAACTGGTTGTACAGGTTTGCATTCCCACCAGCAATGGATGAGTGTTCATTCTCCTTATTCCACATCCTCTCCAGCATAAGTTATTATTAGTTTTTGATCTTAGCCATTCTTACAGGTGTAAGATGGTATCTCAGAGTTGTTTTGATTTGCATTTCCCTGATAGCTAAGGATGTTGAACATTTCCTTATCTTTTGGCCATTTGAAATTCTCTTGAGAATTCTGTTTAGTTCAGTACACCATTTTTTAATTGCATCATTTAGAATTTTAACATCTAATTTCTTGAGTTCTTTATATATTTTGGAGATAAGTCCCCTGTCAGATGTGGGGTTGGTGAAGATCTACTCAGTAGGCTGTCCTTTTGTCTTATTGACTGTGTCCTTTGCTTTACAGAAGCTTCTCAGTTTCAGGAGGTCTCATTTATTCATTGTTGCTCTTATTGTCTGTGCTACTGGGGTTATATGTAGAAAGTGGTTTACTGTGCCCCTGCATCGCATGCTACTTCCCATTTTCTCTTCTTTCAGGTTCATTGTGGTCAGACCTATATTGAGGTCTTTTATCCATTTGGACATCAGTTTTGTGCATGGTGATAGATATGGATCTATTTTCATTCTTCTACATGTTGACATCCAGTTATGCCAGCACCATTTGTTGAAGATGCTTTCTTTTTTCCGTTGAACAATTTTAGCTTGTCGAAAAATCGTGTTCATAGGTTTGTGGGTTAATATCCAGGTCTTCAACTCAATTCCATTGGTCAACATCTGTTTTTATGCCAATACCAGCTGTTTTCATCACTGTAGCTCTGTAATAGAGCTTGATGTCAGGGATGGTAATGCCTCAAGCAGTTCCTTTATTATACAGTATTGTTTTGGCTATCCTGGGTTTTTTGTTTTTCCATATAAAGTTGATTATTGTTCTTTGAAGGTCTATGAAGAATTGTGCTGGGATTTTGATGGGGATTGCATTGAATCTATAGATTGCTTTTGGTAGGATTGCCATTTTTATTATGTTGATCCTACTGACTCAAGAGCATGGCAGATTGCTGGCCCACGTGACTGTGTGGACTGTGTCCAGTGTGGCACTATCATGTGTCTGTGTGGACACTGTCCCACATGCACACAGCTGTGTGGAGGACATGGAGGAGGCGGCCACATGACATTTGTGGTCCACGTGGTCACACGGGCCAGTATCCACACAGTCACATGATAGTGCCACAGGGGACACAGTCCACGGACACACAGAACAGTACCCACCAGGACACACAACAGCACCACACGGGACACAGTCCACACAGACACACACAAAAGATCGCATGATGACCTTGGGCACATGGGAGGCACAGAAAAATTCCATGTCAAATAAATACCAGTTTATGATACAAGTCTGTCCGCAAAGACCCACATGTGGCCACCTGGGCCAATCCCATCATGTCAAGTGACCACGTAGGCAGGGCGGGCAGCAGCCTCCAGTGTCACGTGACCATGCGGGCAGAGCAGCAGCGGGCAATCTTCAGTGTCTCTCATGTCATGTGGTCTCCCCAGTCACACGTGGTCCCTGTCCACACATGCATACAGGTCCACCTTCCCCAATGGGGCGAGTGTTTCGATCGACCTCTGGGCTAGCGGGGACCACAGTTTCTGCTCCACAGGGCTGAGCTCAGAGGGGAGGCTGTGGGAAGATGATAGGGTCAGGGCTGTGGGCAGGGCTAGGATGTCTGGTGGGAGCAGAGGAGCCTGGTCCCCCGCTGTTCCTGGAAGTCTCCTGGCAGGGTGTAGGGGCTCCCAAAACAAGTCATGCCCTGGGCTGGAGACACGTGATACAGATATCACATGCTGGAGGGCGCCACGTCACTGGAGCAACACCAGGACCAAGGGCAGGCAGTCACACATGCTCACCGGTCACCCCTCGTCCAGCCGAACCATGCCCATGACCATGCAGCCACCTGAGACTCGTTCACAACCATCACCTGGTGCCCACCACCTGGTGCCCACCCAAGAACCCCATGCCCACACCCATCACCTGACGTCTACCCAAGCCCACGTGCTCACCCATCATCCCAAGGGTCCCCGGCCACCTCCTCGGTGACGAGGAAGTCGTATTCCTCCGCCGCATACTTCTCCCAGTCTGAGAGCTCAGGCCCATCGGGGTCGCTCTCCTGCGAGGTGCAAGAGAGTCCATGAGATGTGGAGAAGTGTGGGGGCTCACGCGGGAACACAAGGGGAACACAGGACACGCACCCGCAGCAGGGACGCCTGCTCTCGCTGCTCGTAGTCCAGGTACTTGTCCACATTGAAAAACGTGTCGAAGAACACGTGGGCGAGCTTGCAGCGCTTCAGGTCAGGCAGTGTGATCTTCCCTGCGGGGTGGGTGGGCCATGGGGTGACAGGGGAGGGAGGGTGGGGCTGCAGTGTCTGGGGTAAGGAAGGTGGGGCGTCGGAGTCACAGGGGAAGGAGAGTGGGGCCACCGAGTGAGAGGGGAGGGGCAGTGGGGCTGTGGAGGTCATTGGGTTCATGACCAGGTTTCACCGAAAAGTGGGAGGAAGTAGCCCCGTGGGAGACGTGGCCACACAGGACGAATCCGAGCCATGTAGAGGGATCAGTCCATGTGAAAAGCCACCCACTCGTGTCCTGCTCGCCCAGGACCACATAGACACGTGAGGGTTGACCACATGTGATGGAAGTCACAGCCATAAGGAACGATACATAGCCACATGTGTGGTACTCACCCAGGATCACACAGACACGGGAGAGGAGACCATGAACGACAGGGTTATGCCCACGGAGCACAGCATCCAGCCACGCGCATCACACTCACCTGGGATCCGTGGCTGCACCAGGTCCAACATCTGGCACACGCAGTCCTCTAAAGGCAGTGGCTCGATGGCCCGGGCGTCCAGGCGCCGCATCTGCTCCTTGTAGAAATACTCGAGCTCATATAGGGAGAGCACGCCATCACCATCCAAGTCCATGCAGCGGAACCAGTATTCAATGCTGTGGGGAGTAGGGGGGCCATGTCAGCCTGGAACGACAAGGGACACGGCAACAGGAACACAAACAGACATATGCAGCCAGTTTATAGACATGGAACAGGGTTCTCATACACACGGACATGTGGGCCTACAGGCACGAGACGTGCAGTGACCCGCAATGGGGCATAGGGTGACATGCACATGCACCACACATGGGTCACGGACATGGGACACAAGGGTCCCACAAGCCATGGAGGAACCCACATGGGACCATGCCCACCTGGTTGGAGTCTTCTTGTCCTCTTCGGAAAGCAAGAACCACACGAAGTCTGCGTAGCTGATCTTCCCGTTCTTCTGCACCTTCCGGTCTCTGGGGGGGGGGGGGCGGGCCCCCCCGGGGGGGGGGGGTCACAACTGGTGGAGTGGCCACGCCCACCTATGAGTGGCATCACAGTTCACACCCTCCCAGCGACAGCACCATGTGGCCAAACTCACATCCCAGCAACATCAGGCCCAGCGGCCACACCCAAACCCATGGATGTCACAACCTTGGTCATGTGACGGAGACCATGAGCAGTGCCCCCCACACCCAGGGACCCACCTGCTACACCAACACACCCTCCTCCACCCCACACATACCGTGTCACCGCACCTGAGAAGATCCTGTCAATCATCCGGGAGGAAATGGCTGTGGGAGAAAGGCAGGGCGGGAGGGTCACGGCTGATGACTGACAGGACCGGGTCAGCCACGCCCATGCAGGCTTCATCCCATCCAATGCCCCACCCCCACCTAGCCCCAATGCAGTAGCTGCCCCTCCTCCACAGCTGACTGTGGTTGCCTTGGCACATTAGGTCGGAGTGTCCACCTGCAGGTTCCTCCCACATACTCAAGTCCCTCCTGTCCAGGCCCCGCCCAAACCCGCAAGCCTCATGGATCTTCCCCCTCACTGTGGTCTTGCTCGTCCACCTGCAGGCCCCACCCCCATTCCAAAGCCCCTCCCACTCAAGCCCCGCCCAGACCCGGAACCCCTCCCCTCCCACCCCTCACCATGGTCGGAGTGGCGACCCAGGTCCTGTGCATCCACCTGCAGGTCATGGTCCGTGTCCAGCTCCCAGAACTTGCAGTAGATGACGTAGAAATGCTCATAGGAGAAGAACTCAGTCAGCTGGTTGATGTCAGGCTCTACCTCCAGCAGCGCCACGTTCTGGAAATGTATGGGTGAGGTCACGGGAGGCCCCACCCACTGGCTCAAGGCCCCGCCCACTGGCTCCAGGTCCTGCCCCCACCTGCAGGAAGTTGCTCCTCCGCAGCTCGGTGCATGTGATCCAACCGGACCACGACCTGTTCACAGTGTAGAAAATCCTCTGGATGACCTGTGGGTCAGGGGTTCAGCGTGGGGTCAGGGGGTCGGTTGGTCTGAGGGTCAGGGTGGGGGTTAGGGTGTCTGGGGGGGGGGTGTCACGGTATTGGCACAGAGACACGTGGCCATGACTCACCATGGCGATGTACTTTGAGTGACAGCCTATGTCAGGCCCGCTCACCAACCCCACAGTGATGATCATAGGGAGGGGGTCACGGGGATCATGCAGTCGTGGCCATTACTTACCGTGGTGATATAGCGGGAATGAAACTCAGGCGCCTCCTTCAGGAAAGACAGGCCAGGGTGCGTGTTCACCACATCCTGGGGAACATGAAGGGTCCCTGACGGTTGGGGGAGGGACCGTGTGTGTATGCGTCTGTCAGTCCGTGTTTGTGTCAGCCTGCATGTCCGTCGGTCCTTGTGTCCCTCTGTGTCTGTGACCGCGTGCAAATCTCTCCTTCTGTGGGTCTGTCTGTGTGTCCTTCCACTTCTGTGCCCGCCTATCTGCGTGCCCATCTGTCCGTATGTGCATGTCTGTGTGTGCCTGGGTAACTGTGTGCCTGCCTGTCTGTTCACGTGTCCACCTGTCCACACATCTGTCCCCCGGTCCCCCGCACCTGCAGCAGTGGCACAAAATCCTCCTGCACCAGCCCCTTGCTCCCCGGCGCCATCAGCAGCTGCACGAACCTGGCGGCCTCGTCGTGGCACGTGAGGAGGATCCTGGGGGGCACGCCCAACCCGACGATGTCACACGCCCACCCCACTTCCAGACATGACCACGAGCCTCGCGGCACTCCCTTCACCATGGGCAATGGGCAACGAATATGTGCAGGGACATGGATCCTGGCCACGCCCCCCACCAATGATGTCACCAGCCCTGCTCCCGGCCATGCCCCCTGCTTCTAGTCATGCCCATTCCGACGATGTCACCACCCCCACTTCCTGCCATGTTCTCCCACTCACTTCCTCCACATGACCACAAACTTGTGCATGGACACAGAGCCCGTGTGCTCCCCGCCCGCACTGTAGAACAGTGGCCCCTTCCAGTAGAGCGGGCAGCCGCAGGCCTGGGGGGGGAAGAGCAGGAGACTCGGTGGGTGGGGCTGGTGGGAGGGGCAGGGTTGCCAAGGGGAAGGGTTGGAGGGAGGGGCAACTTCCCCATCCATGGCCAGTACCCATGGCCTCCATCCCCACACTGGTCATTCATCCCATGTTCCGTGCCATGGCATCTCCCGTGGTTCCCATGCACCTCCAACACCCACCTTGGCCACGCGGCCCATGTCTCCTACAGTGGCCCGCTCCTGCGGGAACTCCGCGAAGACTCTCTTGATACGGCTGAGGACAGCGTCCACGTCTAGTGTCTCTGGTGGGCGCCCATGTGGGAAGTAGAAAGTGGGGATGCAGCAGCTGGAGGCCGGTGGGGGCGGGTCCTCCTGGGGAGGCTGCACCTGGGGGTTGGGGGTCATGGTAAGCACAGGGTGAGCACACGTGAGCACAGATGAACAGAGCACATGGGTGAGCATGTGTGTACAGGTGTCTGCACGTGTGAACATGCGTGTACATGTTTCTGCACGTGTGAACACGTCTGCAGGCATGTCCCTGGGGTCCCCTGTCCTGTGCACTTACCTTCCTGTGTCCAGGGCTCCTGCAGGAGGTACGCACAGGGCGGGAGCAGGCCAGGGGCAGGGCGCAGATGACATCAGGTGGCTCTGGTCTGTGGCGGGTGACGTCAGGGGGCGTTCCCGGGCCCCCGCGGGTGGCGTCATCGCTCCCCGGCGCGTCCCGGATGCGGCGCAGGCTGTCGTGCAGCGCGCGCTGGGTGTTGGGGTCGCTGAGCCAGCGCAGGAAGAGCTCGTCCACCTTCCGCTTCAGGACGGGCTGTAGCGGCGGCATGACGGGCGGAAGTGCGCGTGGACGGACCGGGAGGGCAACGAACACGCGGACCGGAAAAGCGGACGGACGGGGACAGCGGTAGCAGAAGCGCGGACACGCCTGCTGCTCAGCGTAGCTTCAGAACGGGAGCGTCCGCGGCGCGGGAGAACTACGTCATCAGAGCAGCACCGGGAATACAGAGGATTGTGTCATCACGGCGCTTCAGCCCACAACATGGCGGACCCCGGGGGCGGTGACTGACGCGCGGACACGCCCCCTGTGCAGTGCTGGTTCAGAACTGTCTCGTCTGCGGCGCCGAAGATTCGTGTCATCACAGCGGCGCCCGCCACATTGAGATGCGTCATCAGAACACGCCGACAGTCTCCATGGCGACGGCGTACGCGCGACCACGCCTGCTATGAGAGCAGGCTTCAAACCAGGCGCTCCGGGCAAGGCGTTGTCCGTAGAGCCATGCGTCATCACCCCCGCGCCGCTCACCTAGCGAGCGCGTCATCAGTAGCCGTCATCCGCGTCCACAGAGTCTGCGTCATCTCTGCGCCATCAACCTAGCGGGTATCCTTCGTAAAGGTCTAGAGAGTAAAATAAGTCTTAGAAGCGAGGTCTTTTTCCCTCCCAAGGCGATCACTCTGCCTTCCAAAGGAAACTGCTGCTTACAGCTTCTGGAAAATACACATCAGTGCATATAAACATACATCTCAATTTATAAACTGCATCTCCCAGTCTTTTTATAGAGAAGAAGATTCATTCAGCGTCAACGCCTCACTTTCTTATTTGACTTTATGTCTCTGAACATTTCCCATATCCAAACACACAGATATCCTTCACCACGATAGGACTTATTGTAGCCTCCAACAGTATGTACTTTCTAGTCATTTTCTAAGTTAAGTCCACCACGGGCATCTTCATAATTACATCCTCATCTGTACAGGCTTGCCTCAGAGTGAGTTCAGGGGATGAGAACAGCTGCCAGTATTTAAAAATCTGATATTTGTGGCCAAGTTATACAAGGTAAGCACATATCCATGCCTGTGAGATATAAATAGCTCCCGGCTCTGAGGACTCAGACTTACTAAGTGACATTTATCTGTGTGAAATTTTAAGGCGTCAGTAGAAAGGATTGCTGCTTTCTAATGATCGGAACTAGCCAAACTGTTGTAGTTTGGTTCTTCCTCACTCCCTGTAACAATCACTCAGCCAGAAAGATCAGTTTTAATGTCTATCCGCAGTTCCTGTAAAATAAAAAGTCACATGATACATTCCTTCTAGGACTTTGGATTGGAAGAAGTCTGAAAATTTTTCTGCATTATCTATCACTTTTACTTTAGCTTCTAAGGCAATCAAAATTACATTAGTCTCACTTATACATTAATAGTCTAACTGTATCTTATATTGTGAAGATCTGAAATCTGTTTGGGAAGTTGGTGATCCATACTGAGTGAAATATAAATGGTCTTAGGTTAATAAGGAATTCAAGCAACACAACTAAGGCAAGAAGAGGCAACGGCGAGCACTGCTGTCCCCTTCCCACTGAACACATGTTGATTCTCATTAAGCTTCACAATTATACTTTGCTGAAAACAAAGTAGACTGTGCAAGCCATACAGGTGAGAGAAGACTAGGGTAGATGACACACGTAGTGTTCCCCTAGACAAACACACATCTAGAGGAAAAGGAGACTTGAGGCCTGGAGAGGGGAACTGACTTCTCTGAGGCCACCGCTCTAGGACATTACGGAAGCAGAACTAGGATGTGGGTTGCTTAAGGTCCAGGCCAAGATGCTCTCTCATCACATAACAAGTGTGTCAAGATTTCACATGTGAGCAATGGGCATCCTAACCATGGATCCCGCAAGCCGTCATTAAAAGAGAAAATGCACATCACAGGACAGACGCAATGAGATACCTGGTGGCCCTCTGGTGACTTTGTATTGAGTTTTTCAGGCCATAAATAACTGCTATGGTGGACAGTGATTTGGGGATACCAAATAATTACTTTGTTCTCCCAAACCCAGTAGACCCCTTAGAACTAGACTGAATATTCCCACATTTTTGTTCAATTCCCTGTATTGCCATTGGCAGCAAAGACTCCGCCCTTGTCCGACGTGGGTCTCCAAAGCCTTGGTCTGGATGTAGACACCCCCAGAACAATGAACAGGTATGTTTATTTATAAACAACGTGGGCTCAGAGTTTTGTCATTAGTGCACAGGCAGACCAACAGAACCTTCGCACCTGACGTGTCTCTGCTGCAAGCGGCTGCCCCTGTGCCTTGTCCAGCATGTGACCATGTGGCTCCAGGTCTCTCCCACCACAGCTGGGACACCACCTGTGCCAGTTAGAAAGAAATGACCCCATAGGTGCATAGGGAATGGCACGATTAGGAGGTGTGGCCTTGTTGTAGTAGATATGGCCTTGTTGGAGGAGGGATTTGAGGTCTCAGATGCTCAAGTTAGGCCTAGTGTGGCACTCTCCCTTCCTACCGTCTGCTGATCCAGACGCAGGCCTCTCAGCTACCTCTCCAGCATCATGTCTGCCTGTGTGCCAAACCATGCTTCCTGCCATGATGACAATGGGCTAAGCCTCTGAACTGTAGGCCAACTCAAATGAAACACCCTCCTTCATAAGAGTTGTGGTTACGGCGTCTCTTCACAGCGATGGACACACTAACACAGCACCAAAGATGTCCTCAGGCATTGCCAAATGACTTCCCACATCCCATCCAGCTGGATGAGAGCTACTGCCCTTGGCTCACAGTGCCACATCAGATGGACTCGGCCAGGCCAGGTTAGGTCACTAGAGTCTTAGTTGGGAAATAGAGCTACTGCCACATACTCTGGAAAAGTCATCAAAATTAGACCACGGACCAAGATGGGGTCACACCAACCAGTGTCATTATTAAACAGCAGGGTGCTGAGAATCAAATTCAAGCCTTCTGCTAGAGCAGCAAGTGCTCACTGCAGGCTTTTTTAGGATGTGAATCCAAGACTCAAGTCTGTAACATGAGGGCCAGCTTGTTGGGGTTTCCGTCCCGCCCGGTACCCCAACAGCCGGCAAATCCCAAAGAGAAATTACACACAGGACTCCATAAGGTTATAAACTGATTGGCCCTTAGCTCTGGCTACTTATTAGCTCTTATAACTTATGTTACCCCATTATTCTTATCTACGTTAGCCACATGGGCTCAGTACCTTTCTCAGTATGACAGCTTACATGTTGCCTCTTCGGTGGTCTGGACAGGAATGGCTGAGCGAGAGCTTCTGCTTCCAGAATACTCCCAGTCTCTTTGCTCCACCCCTACTTCCTGTCTGGCTTTCCTGCCTATACTGCCTGCCTGGCCAATCAGCGTTTTATTAAAATATGATTGACAGAATACAGATAATTCTCCCGCACCATTTCCCTCTTTTTTTTTTTAAACAAAGGAAAATACCCATAATCCATTTGTTGGGAATGTGGGCGTAGTATTTCAGGCTACTTCCTGCTGGTTGGGGGCACTGATGATCTTATGGGGCCTAAAGAAAATTTAGAGTTATAATCAAGTCCTGACTGAAGTATCCTGGGAGTCTTGATCATCTCAGGCTGCAGTCTTGAATCAGTTCTGGATGTAGAACTCAGACATCTGGGCCATTTATTCCTGTCGGAGATTTTTCAGGTGGCCTCCCTTGTTCAAACTGGATTTTTCTTAACTCTGAATAAATCCAGAGCCTCTCATTTTCTGTGGAAACAAAAGCAAAATATCTTCTCCAAAGTAGCATACCTTTTGACTTCAGTTTTGAAGCCAAGGTATTTTCAAAATACCTATCTTGGGTTAGTTCAGTATCATTAATAAACAAAAGTCTTTTAGCAGCTGTTGCTCCTTCCTCAGCAATCAAACAATTTAAAGAGAGCATAATAGCATACAGTATGAAGATTCTCTGTGCATTTTCCATCTTTATGTGGCTTTATTTTAACCTCTATTTCTTTTATTTTTACTTTTACTTTTTGAGACAGGATCTTTGTATATCTTTGTCCTGGAATAACACTGTAGACCAGGCTGTCTTTGAACTCAGAGATCCTCCTGTCTCTGCCTCCCCAGTGTTGGGATTAAAGGTGTATGCTACCACACCTTGTACTCACAGAGATCCAAGTATCTCTGCTTCCCCAGTGCTAGGATTAAAGGTGTGTGCTACCACACCTTGAACTCAGAGATCTGTCTGTCTCTGCCTCCCAGGCATTGGGATTAAAGGTGTGTGCTACCACACCTTGAAGTCATAGAGGTCAACTACCTCTGCCCCTTAAAGTCTCAGAGGTCAATGTACCTCTGCCTCCCAGGCATTGGGATTAAAGGTGTGTACCATCACACCCAACTACTCTCTTTCTTTCCTTTTAACTTTAAGAACTTTAACTTTTAGTCTGCATATACACACTGTAAACCATTTAGAGGTTTTCTTCCTCTTTGAATCTCTCTTTACTGTATATTTTTCTTTTTCTGACCATATGAGTCTTTAATTTACTAAGCAATATGGAGAGCTGTGGCTTTGACGGCTAGATCCAGCTCATTCCTTAGCTTTTCAGCCTCAAGGCTGAGGTACCAGCCAGAGCTGTGTTCACTGCCACAACTCTATGGTGTTTCAAGGTCCTTGCCAGCAAGCAAGCTGCAGCATTCTGCTCACAGACCACACTCAGTAGGACTGCCTGCCTGAAAGAGTCAGAGTTTGCTCTGGCAGGACAGCCCAGAAAGCCGGCATTTTAAAACAGCACAGCTTTTTTCCTGCTACGACTGAAAACCGAAAAGCATGTGTTCAGCTTTTCACCAACAGCATTTAAGTGTTTCGTGGCAGGACCTCTTAATGAGCTGCAAGGTTTTGCAGTTAAGGCTGAGTCAGGAAGCCTCCCTTAGATGAGAGCGCTTGCTTGGTCTAGCAAACAGAGCAGACCTGAGAAATTGCTGCTACCAAGAAAACATACTTTACTCTATTCTTTCCCAAACTTTCTCAGGCTTTCTGTGGATTCATTTATCCACGTCTGGGCGTCATATGTAGTAGGAAGGCTGGCTTGTTGGGGTTTCTGTCCCTCCCAGTACCCCAACAGCCGGCAAGCAACAAAGAAAATCACCCACAGGACTCCATAAGGTTATAAACTGATTGGCTCATTAGGTCAGGCTTCTTGTTAACTCTTATAACTTATATTAACCCATTATTCTCATCTATGTTAGCCATAATGGCTC